GTTAAGAACCGTTGAGAATCTACCATTGTATCTAGCGAAGTTTCTTGGTAGCCAGTTAGGGAAAGTTAAACAGGAACCTTTGAGCTCCAACCTTTGCATCGTAACTTAAGTGAACCAGTTTTATGCATTCTCATATATGATCCCACAAGAACCTGGACTCATATGTTTGCTGTAAAGTTAAAAACAGTGGGTGGGTTGCCTGCTTGAGAATACCTCAGCAAATCTGTTTCGATGCTGTCTGTATGAGTGTTAGGGGTAGGTGGTCACCCTGTATAGTTATAGCCGAGCAAGATGATGTACAGGTAATATCATGGGTGAGGAATATGTGACTTTAACTTGTGAGGCACAACATGATCTAATATATTAACACACTGTCATCCTGTGAGTAACGTTTGTGTACTTTTACTGTGTATATATATATATATATATATATATATATATATATATATATATATATATATATATATATATATATATATATATATATATATATATATATATATATATATATATATATATATATATATATATATATATATATATATTTTTTTTTTTTTTTTGCGAAATCGGTTATTTTGCAAAATTTCCTGTATGCATATTGGTAATTTTGTGAAATAGCTTACAAACTGGCTAACCAAACTCATAAGAAAAAGAACAGGACCATTTAACTGTGTATCAGTCTACACAAGCTGGCCTACCCCGACCTGACCTAACCTAACCTACCTTACCTAATCATAAGGCTGGGTTCCTTTAGGTTGTCTGTTTGTAAATGACGTTGTGCAAGTTTAACTGGTGAGTTTATTCCCTATTTAAGACCCTGTGTAGTATACTCGTGTTTATATTAAACTAACACAAGAGTTTTGACCATTCATCTTCGTGTCACAGAGACCGACTTGCCCCTCTAACATATCCAGTTAGGGAAAATTTTCCCATGCGAACTTTTCAGATTTCACTGTGTGGAATATTTTGTGTTTCTTAAAGTAATGAGAGTATCACTTGTGTCATGGCCATTTAGGTATACGTTCCTTGAAAATTATCTTTTCTGAATAGCAAATAAATTGAATACTTTAGACATATTCACTTAAGAGGATATCTAACTTACGATCTCCGAGAATATGAATCTTAATGTTCAAATCAAAGAAGAAAATATTTGTATAAATAAGATACAATACGAGTACTCACGACAACTTGGTAATAAATAATTAATGTATGTGTTATTTATGACTTAATACAGTTAAAACATGTTATCTTTGTGGTCAGGTCCTGGGCAGTGCTTCTGTTTACACTGGTGTTGGTGGCTGTCGTCTCGAGCCCCGTCCAAGGTCGTCGTCTAGAGCCAAGCCGGAGAGGTGAGTGACCAGGGAATACCGGATGCTGAGTGACTGTTGTTGTTGTGGTTGTGATGGTGACTGGTGATAGTGTCACTCTAGCTAGTAGTATGGTTGTTGTGGCTGTGATAGTGACTGGTGATAGTGTTACTAGCTAGGAGTATGGATGTTGTGGCTGTGATTTTGACTAAACAGCCATAAAGGATTATAAATTAGTTGTAGTTCATATTAAAAGTCAACACAATTTTCTGAGAACTGGATATGTTTTTCTCCAGGGGAGAGATTAAAAACAGTTGCTAAAAAAAAATCTGAATACATTTTATAAATACAACTTAACCTAAAATACTTTCATCTCCCTAACCTAAACTATAAGAATTAATGATACACTTCGTCAACACAGTGAATTATTTCACGTTAAATGCGGCCATTTTAGTTCAATTTTACTCATCTTAAATTTCATTTAGTTGGTTAATCAAAATTGTGAAAGAATTTGTTTAAGCATTTCACAAAACTTTTCTTGATTTGAAATCCTAAATTTGTTAGCCATAACGCCAATTGTTCAACACAATTAAAACCTAACTGCTACTTGTACTAGTTTATTTTTTAACTAAATAGAATGAAATAATGTGAAGAATAATTGTGTGGTGTCTCGTGTCTCCCTCAGTCCCCAACGACTGCCACTTACGGTTTGTGGAATGCGACATCCATCCCTATCACGAGTGTTGCGGAGTACCCGAGATCTGCACAAGGGCGTTTGTAGACTGCCTGAGTTATCCTCATCATGTGTGCTGTGGCGGCTATCATTAGGACCATAATAATGTCTTTTGCTTGATCCAACACCAGACAGCACCTTATGACAGCCTCTTACTTGATCCTTACATAAAACTCTCTAATATATTCTCCCTCTTTGATTCTGCCTCACAGTCGTCCCTAGAACAACCCACATGGTTTCTCTTCGTCAGGTACGTCCCCCCCCCACCAGAAGCTACCTGTTACCTTCTTCACCAGATAAAACTTAAGACACAGTTTCCTATTTTCTCTGATGTTATGATCATCTGTGATGTGGCTTAATAAAAACTGATGATGTCTTGTGTGTTTTGTATCATTTATCGTACTTCCTTCTCATTCTCAAATAACTTTTCCCTAACCGTGTACAGTAAGACACAGTAGCACATTTCTACCCTAACAGTTGTATTCTTGTTGACGTAATTAATACAAGATGAACTAAGAGATACGTTTCTGTGTGTGTGGGTCATAATAACTCGCAGCATTACGGTCAGGATGTATGATGGAAAAATCAGCTTAACTTAAGTAAACATTGGTGACACAACACACTGATTATAGGCGATTATTTCCAACTGATGGATTATGATTTTTTGTGTCAGTTACGCATCTTAAATTTTTTCACCCGCCAGCCTTCGTGTGAGTGGTGGCGCGGAAGACGGCCGTGTGTTGGGAGATAGACCACATGTAACTGTGCATAACAATATCACAACAACGTTACTACTGAGTTCTAGAGAGAGAGAGAGAGAGAGACTTTCTTGCATTCTCCAACAACCAATATCTCACTATTGTATTCAGTAAGTCTTCCTGCGTCTCTATCTCAACCACCACCACTATCTCTACCGGTTACTGATGGTGTTCAAGTCCCACACACACCAGATTCCATAATTCACAATTATCTTCAGACTTAGATTCAAACAAGTGTTTACGATAATGCCACTACATGATAATTATTGCATCTGTTGTTCATGTCGAATTCTGTAAATTACGTTTTCAAATACACTTTGTGACATAACCTAACCCTTTAGAATTATATACTACAATAACGCTAAGCCACCATCTATAATGTACATAAAAAAGATAAGAGTGCATAAATTTGTGTTTACAATTATAATCCTTCATAAAATTTCACAGACCATTAACACAGGTTCAGCGAAATTCCATAGGTGAAAAGTCTCCCCCTTAGGAATGCCGAGCATTTAAATATAGTTTATAATCCCAAGATTGAGAACAAAAAATTATGTAGAAGCAGGAGTCGTAGACCCTCAGCAGTTTGGCAATATGAAAACTTCATCCACCACTCACTGTCTTGTCAGCTTTCTCGATTACATATACCGCCATCTCGAGAAACGAAAAACGTCTGTAGCTGTCGCCTTCATTGAGTTCACCAAAGCATTCGACCTAGTCGACCACAATTTAATCATCAACAAAGCTATTGACCTCGGGCTTCGGAGAAGTCTTATACCATGGCTTACAGACTTCCTCAGTGACCGACGCCAAGATGTACGCTTCGGAGGGGCTGTCTCCACCTTTCAGTCACTCACCTGTGGCGTCCCCCAAGGCACCAAGATGGGATCACTCTGCTTCCTTATGCTTATCAATGATGCCCTAAGAGAAACCCCTGCTCGCTGGAAATATGTCGACGACTCCACTATTGAGATCAGCGTCAACAATTCTGCTCCCGACTATACCGCCCTTCAGGATTTATTGAACAGTCTCCAAAACTTGGCCACCAACAACCACGTCACCATCAACCATACCAAGACTATGGTTATGCACATCAACCTCTCCTCCGACATTGTCCCACCCCCTTCCATTACTTTAGGTCCCAACACACTCCAGGTTGTAGATTCCACTAAGCTCCTCGGCGTCACCATAGACAACAAACTAAATTGGAAACCACACGTCAGTGAAGTTTTCAAGTCCTCCAGTTTCCGTCTCCACCTCCTCAGGTGACTCAAGTCCCTCGGAGTTCCTGCACCCGAGCTCCTCAGTCTTTACTCTACATTCATACTTCCCAAGCTCACCTATGCCTCCCCCACCTGGTCTTCCTCCCTAAATGCCACACAACGTAAACACCTAGAGAAAGTGCAAAAGAGGGCATGCAAGATTATTCTCTCCCCTTCCTACTCCACATATCAAGAAGCGCTCAACACACTGACCCTTTCGACTCTCACTGACCATCACCACGACCTCATCAGCAAATTTGGTAAGAAGCTTCTGCACCATCCTCGACACCGGCTCCTACTACCACCTGAGATCCCTAGCCCGAGAATTGCTGTTCGACACCACAACCGCATCCAGCCCATACGTGCACTAATTGATCGCTATAAGAACAGCCCAGTCCCAACCATTGTAAAAATTATCAATAACTTGTAATAGACCAGTGTATTCACTCCCAGTAAATCCTACTTCTTGCACTGTTACTATGTTGAAATGCCCTGTAGTTTGAGCTTTTCCCCATCTAGTTATCATATATCGTATTTGTATCACTTGTGTTACTTGTGTATTATTTGTAAATCGAAACCCATTCCCCAATTATGTAACTGTATATTTTCAGCTTTCTGGCTGGTATGCTCTTTCATTAAACCGTTAATTATTTATATATATATATATATATATATATATATATATATATATATATATATATATATATATATATATATATATATATATATATATATATATATATATATATATATATATATATATATATATATATATATATATATATATATATATATATATTGTGTGTGTGTGTGGCGACACATGAAGTTCTGCCGTTTCCTGATTGATCCAGTTAGTGAATAACCTGGGAAAACCCAATTCTTGTTTCTTTTCCTAGAGTGATTCGCACAAGAGAACAGCAAGGCAGATATAAGCTAACCGCGTCAAGGTTATACTGGCATACAGTGTGCTCCAAGACAGGGGCAGCACCACCTACCATCCTCCTCTGTAGTCCGCGGGTTCTCCTCGCCTCTCAGTTAATTATTCTGTCTAGAATCTAGATCGACCCAGCAGAAAGATAACAACACAGTCACCATGAACAGGTAAGATAATTCTTCACCTATTCACTACGTCTTTATCGTGAACTCGTGAGCTGTCTGGAGCTGCACTGTACATGCTGTCTTTACCACGAGTACAGCCGAGTGTTTACTGAATGTTGTTTAACTTCACTGTACTTGTAACTTCACCGACGAACAATTTGTGGATCAAAACATCAGCATTGTAGTGTAACTTTACCATTGTTGCAGCAGGTGGAGGGGGGTAAAGCTAGATGGGCGAAAACTCTCGTTATTACTAGTGTTGTTAAGAACCTAAGAAACCTAAGAACATAAAAGTGTAGGAAACTGTATTAGGCAGCCCATATCATTCACATTATTTATCCACCTATATTTGAAGCTTCCCAACTAGTCCGAGTTAATAATGAAGTTTAGTAGTTTGTTCCACTCATCCACAACTACTGTTTACCTAATTACTGCCTAAATTTAAATTTGTCTCATTAAAACCATTGTTACGTGTTCACTCCTGAATTTATATATTAAGTACCTTAGTTATATCACCTTTATTTAATCCCGACTTCCATTTATAAATTTTCATCATATCGCCTCTCACTCTACATCTGTCAAGAGAAATATTTTGTTTTTAAATCTTTGCCATAACACAAATGAGTTGTGTTATCGCATCACCACATGGGAGGGATTAAATTTATGAACCTCTGAGAATCCATCATTGTATCTAGCGTAATATATTAACACTTTCATCCTGTGAGTAACGTTTGTATACTTGTACCGTTATGAGACTTCTTTATCAATACTTGTATATATGTACATGTTAGTGTATACCTGTACCTGTGCAGTTGATGTTGATATTGAAACAGTTGATTTTGACAGAAAAAAGCAGATACAGAGTCGACACCAATAACATTGACATTGATGAGGCAAGTGAGAGGCTTTATCAGTACTCAAACCTGTGCTACTGTAGTATATAGATCAGCTCAGGTACAAGTACATCAACAAACAGGTATACATTAACATCTGTACCTGTGCTGGTTTATAACTGTACCTGTGACAGTATTACCTGTGGTCTTATTAACCCAGTTTGACCCACTTCACATATTTGAGTTGAAGAGAGAAGCAAGAAGGACTCGGTTAATTCTTATTCTCCGCTGCTATTATTTATAAACAGAACGTGCAGGGAAGAGGACTTCCTGCCTCACTAATTATTGTTTATGTTACATCGAAAGCCTGGCAGTGAATGTAAATTCAGTGATCACAGGTGAACTACTGTCCAACGCCCCAGCCAGCATTAACAATATATAGCATTATCTGTATCTGTGTAGTATAAACAGATAAAAGAAACAGTCAGCACCTCAGAGCAAGCAGGGTTTAACCACTCCACTCGCGTGTGACGTTGTGCAAGTTTAACTGGTGAGTTTATTCCCTATTTAAGACCCTGTGTAGTATACTCGTGTTTATATTAAACTAACACAAGAGATTTTGACCATTCATCTTCGTGTCACAGAGACCGACTTGCCCCTCTAACATATCCAGTTAGGGAAAATTTTCCCATGTGAACTTTTCAGATTTCACTGTGTGGAATATTTTATATTTCTAAAATAAATGAGAATATCATTTGTGTCATGGACAGTTAGTTACATTGCCATCTTACGCCCATTTAATAAATTAATTAACCTATAATCCTTGAAAATTCTATTTTCTGAATAGTAAATAAACTGAACTTTCTAGACATACTGTATTCATTTAAGAGGATATCCAACTTACGATCTCCGAGAATCTGAATCTAAAAGTTCAAACAAATGCGAAAATATTTGAATAAATAAGATGAAATACGAGTAATCACGATAACTGAGTAATAATTAATTATTGTATGTGTTATTTATAACCTATTTATGACTTAATACAGTTAAAACATGTTATCTTTGTGGTCAGGTCCTGGGCAGTGCTTCTGTTTACACTGGTGCTGGTGGCTGTCGTCTCGAGACCCGTCCAGGGTCGTCGTCTAAAGCCAGGCCGGAGGGGTGAGTGACCAGGGGGCCTTGGGATGCCGGACACTGTGTGACTATTGTTGTTGTGGCTGTGATGGTGACTAGTGATAGTGTCACTCTGGCTAAGATTATGGTTGTTGTGGCTGTGATGGTGACTTGTGATAGTGTCACTCTAGCTAGGAGTATGGTTGTTGTTACTGTGATGATGACTGGTGATAGTGTTGCTAGCTACGGGTTAGGTTGTTGATACTGTGATGGTGACTGGTGATAGTGTTACTAGCTACGGGTAAGGTTGTTGTTACTGTGATGATGACTGGTGATAGTGTTACTAGCAACGGGTAAAGTTGTTGTGGTTGTGATGATGACTGGTGATAGTGTTACTAGCTACGGGTAAGGTTGTTGTTACTGTGATGATGACTGGTGATAGTGTTACTAGCAACGGGTAAAGTTGTTGTGGCTGTGATGATGACTGGTGATAGTGTTACTAGCTACGGGTAAAGTTGTTGTTACTGTGATGGTGACTGGTGATAGTGTTACTAGCTACGGGTAAGGTTGTTGTTACTGTGATGATGACTGGTGATAGTGTTACTAGCTACGGGTAAGTTGTTGTTACTGTGATGATGACTGGTGATAGTGTTACTAGCTACGGGTACTGTGATGATGACTGTGAGTTGTTGTGGCTGTGATGGTGACTGGTGATAGTGTTACTAGCTACGGGTAAGGTTGTTGTTACTGTGATGATGACTGGTGATAGTGTTACTAGCAACGGGTAAAGTTGTTGTGGCTGTGATGATGACTGGTGATAGTGTTACTAGCTACGGGTAAAGTTGTTGTTACTGTGATGGTGACTGGTGATAGTGTTACTAGCTACGGGTAAGGTTGTTGTTACTGTGATGATGACTGGTGATAGTGTTACTAGCTACGGGTAAGGTTGTTGTTACTGTGATGATGACTGGTGATAGTGTTACTAGCTACGGGTATGGTTGTTGTGGCTGTGATGATGACTGGTGATAGTGTTACTAGCTACGGGTAAGGTTGTTGTTACTGTGATGATGACTGGTGATAGTGTTACTAGCTACGGGTAAAGTTGTTGTGGCTGTGATGATGACTGGTGATAGTGTTACTAGCTACGGGTAAAGTTGTTGTTACTGTGATGATGACTGGTGATAGTGTTACTAGCTACGGGTAAAGTTGTTTCGGCTGTGATGATGACTGGTGATAGTGTTACTAGCTAAGGGTAAGGTTGTTGTTACTGTGATGATGACTGGTGATAGTGTTACTAGCTACGGGTAAGGTTGTTGTTACTGTGATGATGACTGGTGATAGTGTTACTAGCTACGGGTAAAGTTGTTGTTACTGTGATGGTGACTGGTGATAGTGTTACTAGCTACGGGTAAAGTTGTTGTGGCTGTGATGATGACTAGTGATAGTGTTACTAGCTACGGGTAAGGTTGTTGTTACTGTGATGATGACTGGTGATAGTGTTACTAGCTACGGGTAAGGTTGTTGTTACTGTGATGATGACTGGTGATAGTGTTACTAGCTACGGGTAAAGTTGTTGTTACTGTGATGATGACTGGTGATAGTGTTACTAGCTACGGGTAAGGTTGTTGTGGCTGTGATGATGACAAAATTCATATATGATTATAAATTAGTTGCAGTTCATATTAAGAGTGATTTCATATGTGTGTTTCTTTTTCCTCCGCGATAAAAAGTTTGTAACATGCTAACAGTTTTTCAAGATACACTTTATGACGACAACCTAACGTAAGATATTCTCATCTTCTTAAACGCAAGAATTAATGATTAACTTCGTCAACACTGTCAACCATTTCACTTTGAAGTCAAAAAAGGCGGCCATTTTATTTTAATTTTCCTGACCTTAAATCTCAGTTACTTGGTCAACATCTTCTGGGGATCAACATCTAAATTGTCTGGAAGAATTTGTTTACAAAATTTTCCTCAAAACTGTTTATAGACTAAAGCTTATAAGTTTTGCAGCCGCATGATTTTGTCTTTTGTTTAACAGACAAATAGAAAAAAAATTACATATACTGTTTGTATTCCTTTCTTTATCTGTATCTTTATGTAATGTAACTTAACCTATACGAGTATGATAAGTTTTATGTTAAAAAAATTGATATGATGTGAAGATTATATTGTGAAAGTGATGTGGTGTCTCTCCCTCAGTCCCCGAGTACTGCCAGTTTGTGAGGGTGGACTGCACTTCAGTGCCTCTTCACGAGTGTTGTGGCATCGTGCCAACATTGCCTCCCTATACCGGCGGGCCTGGAATCCCCGAGTACTGCAACAGGGTGACGGTGATCTGCGATCGTCCACCGTATCACGAGTGTTGTGGCCGCCGACAAACTGTGCCCGAAATCTGTAGCAGGTCGTTTGTAAACTGTAATGAATCACCCAATCACCCATGCTGTGGCGGCCGACCATCTGTGCCTTCCCAATTTTACAGACCTTCAGGATAATGGTGAACGCGGTTATGAGTTCAGTCACCTGTGCTGTGGCATCGCTCGCTAGACATATCATCCTTGTTGATCCAACACCAGACAGCACCTTATGACAGCCTCTTACTTGATCCTTACATAAAACTCTCTAATATATTCTCCCTCTTTGATTCTGCCTCACAGTCGTCCCCAGAACAACCCACATGGTTTCTCTTCGTCAGGTACGTCCCCCCCCACCAGAAGCTACATGTTACCTTCTTCACCAGATAAAACTTAAGACACAGTTTCCTATTTTCTCTGATGTTATGATCACCTGTGATGTGGCTTAATAAAAACTGATGATGTCTTGTGTGTTTTGTATCATTTATCGTACTTCCTTCTCATTCTCAAATCACTTTTCCCTAACCGTGTACAGTAAGACTCAGTAGCACATTTCTACCCTAACAGTTGTATTCTTGTTGACGTAATTAATACAAGATGAACTAAGAGATACGTTTTTGTGTGTGCTGGTCATAATAACTCGCAGCATTACGGTCAGGATGTATGATGGAAAAATCAGCTTAACTTAAGTGAACATTGGTGACACAACACACTGATTATAGACGATTATTTCCAACTGATGGATTATGATTTTTTGTCAGTAACGCATCTTAAATTTCTTCACCCGCCAGCCTTCGTGTGAGTGGTGGCGCGGAAGACGGCCGTGTGTTGGGAGATAGACCACATGTAACTGTGCATAACAATATAACAACAACGTTACTACTGAGTTCTAGAGAGAGAGAGAGAGAGAGACTTTCTTGCATTCTCCAACAACCAATATCTCACTATTGTATTCAGTAAGTCTTCCTGCGTCTCTATCTCAACCACCACCACTATCTCTACCGGTTACTGATGGTGTTCAAGTCCCACACACACCAGATTCCATAATTCACAATTATCTTCAGACTTAGATTCAAACAAGTGTTTACGATAATGCCACTACATGATAATTACGGCATCTGTTGTTTATGTCGAATTCTGTAAATTACATTTTCAAATACACTTTGTGACATAACCTAACCCTTTAGAATTATATACTACAATAACGCTAAGCCACCATCTATAATGTACATAAAAAAGATAAGAGTGCATAAATTTGTGTTTTCAATTATAATCCTTCATAAAATTTCACAGACCATTAACACAGGTTCAGCGAAATTCCATAGGTGAAAAGTCTCCCCCTTAGGAATGCCGAGCATTTAAATATAGTTTATAATCCCAAGATTGAGAACAAAAAATTATGTAGAAGCAGGAGTCGTAGATCCTCAGCAGTTTGGCAATATGAAAACTTCATCCACCACTCACTGTCTTGTCAGCTTTCTCGATTACATATACCGCCATCTCGAGAAACGAAAAATGTCTATAGCTGTCGCCTTCATTGAGTTCACTAAAGCATTCGACCTAGTCGACCACAATTTAATCATCAACAAAGCAATTGACCTCGGGCTTTGGAGAAGTCTTATACCATGGCTTACAGACTTCCTCAGTGACCGACGCCAAGCTGTACACTTCCGAGGGGCTGTCTCCACCTTTCAGTCACTCACCTGTGGCGTCCCCCAAGGCACCAAGATGGGATCACTCTGCTTCCTTAAGCTTATCAATGATGCCCTAAGAGAAACCCCTGCTCGCTGAAAATATGTCGACGACTCCACCATTGAGATCAGCGTCAACAATTCTGCTCCCGACTATACCGCCCTTCAGGATTTATTGAACAGTCTCCAAAACTGGGCCACCTACAACCACGTCACCATCAACCATACCAAGACCAAGGTTATGCACATCAACCTCTCCTCCGACATTGTCCTACCCCCTTCCATTACTTTAGGTCCCAACACACTCCAGGTTGTAGATTCCACAAAGCTTCTCGGCGTCACCATAGACAACAAACTAAATTGGAAACCACACGTCAGTGAAGTTTTCAAGTCCTCCAGTTTCCGTCTCCACCTCCTCCGCTGACTCAAGTCCTTCGGAGTTCCTGCACCCGAGCTTCTCAGTGTCTTGACACTGAGTGATACCACCCTCAGTGTCAAGACCTGACTGAATTACTCAGAATAGGCAAACTGTACTACAGGCTCTGCCAATAAATTTGTTAAACTAAAAAAAAACTTTATTTAATCCCGACTTCCATTTATAAATTTTCATCATATCGCCTCTCACTCTACATCTGTCAAGAGAAATATTTTGTTTTTAAATCTTTGCCATAATACAAATGAGTTGTGTTATCGCATCACCACTTGGGAGGGATTAAATTTATGAACCTCTGAGAATCCATCATTGTATCTAGCGTAATATATTAACACTTTCATCCTGTGAGTAACGTTTGTATACTTGTACCGTTATGAGACTTCTTTATCAATACTTGTATATATGTACATGTTAGTGTATACCTGTACCTGTGCAGTTGATGTTGATATTGAAACAGTTGATTTTGACAGAAAAAAGCAGATACAGAGTCGACACTAATAACATTGACATTGATGAGGCAAGTGAGAGACTTTATCAGTACTCAAACCTGTGCTACTGTAGTATATAGATCAGCTCAGGTACAAGTACATCAACAAACAGGTATACATTAACATCTGTACCTGTGCTGGTTTATAACTGTACCTGTGACAGTATTACCTATTGTCTTATTAACCCAGTTTGACCCACTTCACATATTTGAGTTGAAGAGAGAAGCAAGAAGGACTCGGTTAATTTATATTCTCCGCTGCTATTATTTATAAACAGAACGTGCAGGGAAGAGGACTTCCTGCCTCACTAATTATTGTTAATGTTACATCGAAAGCCTGGCAGTGAATGTAAATTCAGTGATCACAGGTGAACTACTGTCCAACGCCCCAGCCAGCATTAACAATATATAGCATTATCTGTATCTGTGTAGTATAAACAGATAAAAGAAACAGTCAGCACCTCAGAGCAAGCAGGGTTTAACCACTCCACTCGCGTGTGACGTTGTGCAAGTTTAACTGGTGAGTTTATTCCCTATTTAAGACCCTGTGTAGTATACTCGTGTTTATATTAAACTAACACAAGAGATTTTGACCATTCATCTTCGTGTCACAGAGACCGACTTGCCCCTCTAACATATCCAGTTAGGGAAAATTTTCCCATGTGAACTTTTCAGATTTCACTGTGTGGAATATTTTGTGTTTCTTAAAGTAATGAGAGTATCACTTGTGTCATGGCCATTTAGGTATACGTTCCTTGAAAATTATCTTTTCTGAATAGCAAATAAATTGAATACTTTAGACATATTCACTTAAGAGGATATCTAACTTACGATCTCCGAGAATATGAATCTTAATGTTCAAATCAAAGAAGAAAATATTTGTATAAATAAGATACAATACGAGTACTCACGACAACTTGGTAATAATTAATTAATGTATGTGTTATTTATAACCTATTTATGACTAATGCAGTTAAAACATGTTATCTTTGTGGTCAGGTCCTGGGCAGTGCTTCTGTTTACACTGGTGCTGGTGGCTGTCGTCTCGAGCCCCGTCCAGGGTCGTCGTCTAGAGCCAGGCCGGAGAGGTGAGTGACCAGGGGATACCGGATGCTGAGTGACTGTTGTTGTTGTGGTTGTGATGGTGATTGGTGATAGTGTCACTCTAGCTAGTAGTATGGTTGTTGTGGCTGTGATAGTGACTGGTGATAGTGTTACTAGCTAGGAGTATGGTTGTTGTGGCTGTGATGGTGACTAAACGGCCATAAAGGATTATAAATTAGTTGTAGTTCATATTAAAAGTCAACACAATTTTCTGAGAACTGGATATGTTTTTCTCCAGGGGAGAGATTAAAAACAGATGCTAAAAAAAAATCTGAATACATTTTATAAATACAACTTAACCTAAAATATTTTCATCTCCCTAACCTAAACTATAAGAATTAATGATAAACTTCGTCAACACAGTGAATTATTTCACGTTAAATGCGGCCATTTTAGTTCAATTTTACTCATCTTAAATTTCATTTAGTTGGTTAATCAAAATTGTGAAAGAATTTGTTTAAACATTTCACAAAACTTTTCTTGATTTGAAATCCTAAATTTGTTAGCCATAACGCCAATTGTTCAACACAATTAAAACCTAACTGCTACTTGTACTAGTTTATTTTTTAACTAAATAGAATGAAATAATGTGAAGAATAATTGTGTGGTGTCTCGTGTCTCCCTCAGTCCACAACGACTGCCACTTACGGTTTGTGGAATGCGACATCCATCCCTATCACGAGTGTTGCGGAGTACCCGAGATCTGCACAAGGGCGTATGTAGACTGCCTGCGTTATCCTCATCATGTGTGCTGTGGCGGCTATCATTAGGACCATAATAATGTCTTTTGCCTGATCCTACACCAGGCAGCACCTTATGACAGCCTCTTACTTGATCCTTACATAAAACTCTCTAATATATTCTCCCTCTTTGATTCTGCCTCACAGTCGTCCCCAGAACAACCCACATGGTTTCTCTTCGTCAGGTACGTCCCCCCCCACCAGAAGCTACCTGTTACCTTCTTCACCAGATAAAACCTAAGACACAGTTTCCTATTTTCTCTGATGTTATGATCACCTGTGATGTGGCTTAATAAAAACTGATGATGTCTTCTGTGTTTTGTATCAATTATTGTACTTCCTTCTCATTCACAAATCACTATCTGCCATATACAGTAAAACACAGTAGTACATTTATACCCTATCAATTGTATGTTTGTTTAGCACAACTGAAATATGAGTGTACGCCATCTGTGGGGTGGGCGTGTGAGATCCCACACTGCGGCACTACATGTCTAACAGCTGCTCTGTGGTCGATGTAGAAGAGCGGGTAGGAAGGTACGGAAGCTGGAGTTGTAACTACGACGATGATTCACCAGTAATTCCCACTTAGGTAATCTACTTAAAGGCATCTCGTAACACACTTAGATATGTCACTATCATTGTGTTACCTGTAAGATCTCTTAATAAATTGCAAGGTGCTGGTAAGGGTTTAGATACACACGTAGTTATAAGAGTATACTATAGTTAACAGTCTCGACAGCCCACACGGAGTCCACAAGGTATAGAGAGGAACCAACCCAACTATAAGGCATCTTGATGTATTGGGGGCCTTGGCTAATGGATTCTTGTAGAAGTAATAGTACAGATAGTAACAGACATAACTATATTATTATAAGTCAATAAACATAAGTACTTTTACATGTTGACGTAATTAATACAAGATGAACTAAGAGATACGTTTGTGTGGGTGCTGGTGATAATAACTCTCAGTATTATGGTCAGGATGTATGATGGAAAGGTTAGATTAACTTA